ACCGACAGCTTTATTATGGCTCAACCCCCTCTGGCGTCACTCGGTGCCTCGTCCCGGCTGAACCCTGACGACGACGGAGCGACGTGTCTCCGCTGGTGTCCGTCATGCGACCATGCTAACTTTGCGTTGCTAAGCTAATAATCATATGCAAAGTCGTGCAGACATTTTTCGGCTCTGTGCTTAATGGCCATCGGTATAAAAAGCAGAACTTCTCTACTTGCTTCTTCAGCAGTCTTCAGCTTCTTCATCTCTTTCTTTGCCGAACGGCAATAGTCAGGTTTTTGCCGCATCGACGAGATTCACTAACGCTCTCTCGTCCCTTGCAGAAAGAGGTACTGATTTTTCCACTGATTCTCATTTCTGACCCTCAGCTCGTCACTCGTCACTCGTCACCTCTTATCTGCAAGGTACTCCTCGTCCTCGACTGAGGTGAATTTCTTCGACTTTTCGCCGTGGTTCTGCCGTTTGTTTGTTTGTTCTTCAGTCCACTCTCTCTACTCGGACACATTGAATGATAAAGTGCTGCTGCTATCACTGTCAGAACAGCTGGCCACTCTGCTGCTGCACCGAAAACAATGCATCTCATCTGTTAATCAATTTTTCTCCTTCTCATCCACTTGCGTCATTCTGCTGCAGAAAAGACAACTTTCATTTGTTTAGCCGCAGCCGCCCTTGTTTTCAAAATGCTTCTGCGTCGTTGTAAAAAGCTAGTCGCGGAGCTCAGAGCGTCAGAGACGTAACTTCAGTCCAACAGACCGACCGAGGATGCTACGATTAATAGCACATCCGCAGAGGTGAGGGAAGCATGTGACAAAACATGTCCCGGTTTTGAGTTTCTCCTGTTAGATAAGCGCATTTTGTGCATTTTCTGCAAACAACTAAATTTCCATGCAGTCACTTCAAAGTAGTATATACTGTCATGGTGACTGTGACCCTCAGAAAAACTCTAGCAGACCTCAATGTAAAATTACTGGCTACTTTAGCATACCGAGATTCAACGGAAACGACACTCGACGGAACGTTTCTTCCATCTTCCTATTGTCAAACGTAATTCCTACTCGTCAGAATAGATAGCAACATTTTAATCCAAAGGAACTTTTCAAAGGAGAGGAGGAGAACAGTGAATGGGACCTTGGCCATTATGCCATGACTTTCCCTCTTTGATACGTACATATGCTGTCTGCCTTGAAAAGGCAAATTTTCATTGGTCTCAAAGTAACCTATGCTGTCATGATTCATGTCCCTTGGGATGACCCCTACGATTACGAAGTGAACTCATTCATCACTTTGACAGGAGTAGCCAATCCTTATAGAGTAACAGGCGTAAGCGAAATGAAAGAAGATGAAGCTCCGTTCCGCTGTGCCCTTCCCTCTTTCACGATTACTCCTTTGCGCTTTGCTAGCAGTGGAGTACGAGGCATATCGACAAAGTCATGACTTCGATCCTTGGGCCGTCCAACAGAAGGCGACGAACATTGGCATTTGGACAGAGAAACGGATGAATGCGTGTGCTCCCGGCCTCTATTCCCTCTAGTTGCATACAATGCGTGTTCAAAATAAATTTCGAGACATTTCAAGGCAGTCCATGACTGAAAAAATCCAGAACGTAAATAACTTATTCAGTTCGTCTGGAGTACCCAATCCGTAGAGAATGACATGCGAAACGAAAGTGCAACTAAATGGATTTTGGCCTCTTTATTTTTTTTCATAGGCGCTTCGCTAGCGTATGGATGTATGGACAGATCCATTACTTAAGTCCAACAAACTTGTCCGAGGGCAGGTGACGAACACAGATATCTGGGCAGTGGTATGGCAGAATGTTGGCATAATTGCTCCATTCGAATTTCTGTTTTTACATAGGTACATGCAGACTGTTCAAAAAAATATAATCTACGCCTCAAACTGCCTTGCTTTAATGTTTCTTGCCTCTTTGAAAAACATGTACATATGCAATGGAAATCACTTTCAACATTAATCAATTCTGACAGGGTAATTGGAAGCAGAGTTTGACCACTGTCACCCCCTCCCGTCTGTCTATGGGTTTTCTTCTGCATTGTCCTCTTTGTCTTCTGATACACGCTTCCCACGGCTGAGTCATCGGGCTTATGTTTACTCAATCTTTCTGTTGTTTGGTTCAGCCTTTGCGAGTCACTTGTGACGGTATTTCGGATGCAGTTGTTCGTGTAAATTCAGCTTATCAGTGTAAGCATTCAAATTTCCACGGCACTTCCTGAAAGTCAAATGAATTGACTGGATGTTGATGCCGTACAGTTATCCCAAATTATGCATAAGCGAGGTAGTGGTGCTGATTTATTTGACTCGGAAAAGTCACTTGTGCTAATGAAGAAGGTCTCGCCATACTGCCTATGGGGTGCTTTCCGCTCGTGATTTCAATTCGCCTTTTGTTCGCTATGACGGGTCGTGTGGCATACTGGCTCTTATGCATGCTGCTCATGGTCGTCGTCACCTGTAAGCCAGACGAACGAAAAGCAAACAGCGAGCGTCGTTCAAATCAGATGAAACCCTCGCTGCATATCGACCGACCACAGGTGTGCTTCGTGGCTGAATTCTGTCACTCTCCTTCCCTCACTCTTTGTGTCTGTTAACCTGACGAACAGCGCTGAATCCGATCCGACAGTCCGACAGATGAGATCGATGTCGTCGTACGCGTAATTGGCACCGAACTGCGGTCTCGGTCTACGATCGAAACTGAAAGAATCAGGTAATGCAGCTCTTTCAGGAATTATAACTGAAACCAATATTGCAGTAGTCAGTAGCTCAGCAATAAGATCGAATTCATTTATTGACGATGGCCATTTTTTCTACTACCTCCTTTGCTCTTCTTCGTCCTTGTAGATGGTATCAGAACGCTACCTTCAATTGGATGAAATTTTCTAACAATGTTTTATAATTTGTTCCAGAGAGTAAACTTCTTTTTTGTCTACTGCAAAATGAGCAAGAAGCTAAGACCAGAGTACCATTCACGACAGTATCATTCTTAGAGTAGTTGCTGTCCGTTTGGATGACGAGTTTTATTGGAACCGGGTTCGTAATTTAAATAAGAGAGCATGACGAAAGTAATGTTTAGTCGCACAGAGGCAAATTCACTTTAAGCTAGAGAATAAGGAAAAACAATATAATCCAGAAAGATTAGGTACTGGAGTCTGGAGTGCCAATGGTATAGAATCAGTAGCAACGCTGAATTGATAATATGTCTCTTCATTGGATATGAAAGGAGTAGACGAACCCGATTAAGCCTCGTCATCCAAATCGGGCGATATATCGTAATTCCGGTTTATCCTACAGGTGGTTTACCACAATCGGATGCAGGATCTTTGCGGATTTGCTCCGGATGGATCTTTGGACTTGTCTGCTAGTCAAATCGTTTGAATTTAGCTCTAAACTAAATAGAAATTATTTATTTTGATAAATTATGGAGTCAAATTTAAAATCATTGCCAAATTCTGCTTGAAACTGTCTGAAAACACACCGTCCACTTGATTAATTCATGCTTTTTTCAACATGAAAGGAACTACGTCATCGCTTCCCAACATTTTCGTAAAGACTGACAGGGACTGACGGGCAAACATGAGTTCTATGTCTTGCTTTGTACAATATACTAAATACTTTTTCGGATTTTCTATTCTGTTTGGCCATAAAATATCATGCTTCGTCTGGAGATGACAAGCTATGATGAAAACTGTTATCCTCTCCCTGTGGATCAGTCTTAACAGAGATCATCAGACCTTCTATTCAGGTGCAGTGATATTATAAAAATGCTTTTCACTCTCTGTCCTGAGGTGATCCATTCTCAACTGAAGGGGATTGCGTGGGAACCATACGATTGATGTTTTAGGCAAATCAGCCACTTTTCTCGGGACAGGGGATAATCGAAGATCCTTCAAGTCAAAGGGCAGCAATTTACGGAACACAATCTCCGTTTCTAAAATGAAAGGTTTTATAATGTATCCAGGGGAAAGATTCCTAACAGGATTGCAATCTTTTGGATGCTACGGAACTTGTTCGCATAAGAAGAAGCTGATCAGACAAATACACTCTCATATGTTTAGCCGAGTGATGAATCAAATGATTTGCAAACGTTGTCATGGCGACCCACAGCCGACTCATTCAGAAGGAATAGAGAAGGGCAGTGTTTCTTGCAATGGAAGATAATCGAGCGATTTTCATCCATCGTCTAGAAGCATGTGGTGGATGGTGATATATTATGGCGCTGCTGTGGCCCGTTTCCACATTTAATACCACCTTTTCTCTCTAGAATGCTTAGATATTCTGAGAAGCCATAAAGTATCGTTGTACGGAGCTTGCAGTCGCCACTTCCCAGGGGTTGAGTTCATTGACTGTTACATGGTGTAGTATATTTTACATGAATGCTGCTGTGCGCTGCCAACCAACCTTGTTGTGTAAGGGAATAAGCTTCTTTGTTCTTTATGCTTTCAGAGTTGCAAGATCGCTTCTTTGAGTCATATGAGGAATGCATATAGGGATGGCTGTTGTAGGACCATTCAGATCTGCGGCAACGGTGTCTCTCTCGTTTACAGTCATACACTACAAGGCAGAGGGTTGCGTCATTTTTTCGCTATTGTATGATCCTCAGAAGATCTTTTGAAATTCCATGACTCTTACTTAGAGGACAGGTATATGGCTACGTACCTCTATACTTGTAATTACTGTCCGTCTCGTACAGTATGGTCAAATGCTGAACCTCATTGAGTTCAGCGAAGCATATACGCGATACTGTCATTAAGCTTGTGTGGATCTGAATGCCGAATGTGAACTGTATGTTAAGTACTCGTTTGGCGGAGAGCGCATAATCAGCCTGGTGTGTTCTGACTGTATTCAACGCAAGACATTCCTCAAAACTGTACTAATGCGGAAACGGTCAGCGGCCGCGTTTTTCAGACTTTCTTTGTCGGATCTGTTTCGTTGCACAAAAACATCAACAGTCTCGAAGGTCGTGGAATGACTACGAAAAAAGTGTCTCTTTCCACGGCTGCCGCGGCCGCCTCCTCACTGGCACCGGCGAACGATGAACTTTGCCTCATGGCCACGGTTACATCGAACGAACGATCAACCGGATGGGGTGTCGACGGATGGCCTGTCGTTATTCAAACAACGACCTACGTTGCAGCAGCCGTCGTCGTTTGTTGATGAATGCCATTTAATCCGCACTGCCGATTAAACCCCATTCGCTTCTTTCATGACTTGGATATTTTACTGTTGTAACTGAGGCGAAATCGAAAGAGTCTTAGGGTCGATTTGAAACGATGACTTCTTCGTTCATGTAAGCTGAAGAGTTCCTGCCTCAGTGATTCACCTCACATGAGTAACATTTTGGGCCTTAACTCTAACAGAAGAGAGTATAGCACAATACACCAAACACAGCGTTGGAACCCCCTTCGGTTGCTGTTGTCACTTATTGAAGCCACCCTCTCCCCGGCCGACATTCGTATTTCTTCCTTATGAAGAGAAAACAACGGAGCAGATTCTTATTACTCAATAAATGTAGTATGTTGCCTGTATCGCCAACCTCCGTCCGGAGTCAAATTGCCAATCTATTCTCAGACGGCCTCAAAAACATGATGTGCATCCGCTTCACTGTGGGGTTTCCAGGCGCACGTCGTCCTCTATCTTGAGACATGCTATCAGTCATGAACGTTTTGCCGGCATTATTGGACATGATTCATCATTTCAGTAATTTACCGCAAAGGATGCAATTTTTCTAATTTTTATGCATCTGTGAATCATCGAGTTTTCACGTGTCCTTGAATTATTATTTTCCGCTGAAAGGCCAGACGGATTGATGTTAAATTTTGCTATTCGTTCGGATATGGGATCGATCGCAACCACGGTCATTCTTTACAATCTGTGGTCAAATACTTAGTTTTAACTGATCTGCCTCTGTTGTCACGGGACTCCTTGTCAATCCGGTTTCTAGACTTTTGTTAACCGACGTTTCACGCTTCATGGAATACGTTTAAGACCACCAAGCAGCAAAGAGTGTCCACTCCACCGTTCTTCACACTTTTATGTGATCTCCTTTTCTGAGCTTTGTTTGCCTTCCGTAGGGGCGAGACAGACGTTGAATCTTGGTGGCCTAATCCTATGGTTTACATGCCCGTACTGCAAAAGTGACGCTTAGAGTGGTTCGACTAACCGCTGGCAACGCAAAGACAATTTTTGTATTAGATACGCATCCTGTGACGAATACGGAAACGTATCCTTCCGGTAGAGCTTCCGCTTCCTAAAGTTGTTTTCTTCGCAAAAGCAATGAAGAGTGTCTAAAACCATATCACAATTAATTAGCGTTCTGAATTATATGCGTTTTTAAACCCTACAGCCGCCTCGCACAGAGTTTAAATATGAATAAATTCACAAAATAAATATAAAGGAACATGTTTTTTGTAAAGTTGAGACAGCGTTAACTAGTAATAGGCACTTTGAGGAAGAGATCGAATGGCGGATTGGAGTAGCCAGTGGCGTTGAACTAATCCTAATCCGAACCGTTGACTAAAGCCCGACGGAGTCTGAAAACTAAGCTCTTGGTTTTGAAGTCGACTTTCATCTCCATGCTCACCTATGGATATGAGTCATGGCCCTTGACTGAAAACTTTGATCCTCGGTACGAACAGCTGAAATGGGCTTTCTAAGACGAGTCCCTGGCCCTACGCGTCTCGACATTCGGGAGAGCCTTGGTGTACAGTCGCTGCTTCTTCAGATTAAGAAGTCACAGCTGCGATGGCTTGGACAAGTGTTGTGAATGCCTCCAGAAAGGAAGGTTCTTCAACTGTTTCTTGCCCAGCCGACCGGCAGAAGGTCCAGGAGATGGCCGAGATTAACCTCGTGCAAATTAATTGAAGGTGTCTGTTCCAGACTCCAGTTGTCTTCTGCCAAAGCTCAGTCTCTGGCAGATGATCGGGAACGTTGGAAGCTCTGTCTGACGCGTTTGCCTCCGCGACCCGAACGGAGAAGTGGTTATGGAAGATGCGGATGTATTGTAGGACGTGTACCTCAGATTAATAGACTGAGCTAATCGGAACTGTAGCAGTTATCTGATTGCTTGACTCACGAACTCAGTTAGACTTATGCATCGGTGTTTGTTTGTTGAGTAATCACCTTGAGCCATTCCAATGAGCAGAATTTATCTGATTTGCGATGTATGCTGTATTCAGAGCTTCTCAATACTGTTACTATAAAGCGTCGGTTACTCCATCGTTAATCGAACAATCCCTCCATAGAAGGCTATTCAGCATGGCTGATGTATAAGTGAAATACTGAGGCGCTTCAAGAGGCCTGGTTTCATCATTTCCAGCGATTGCATCATTCAGCTAGAGGCTGAGTAGTAGGATTGCCATAGACTCAAGTGCTGTTATAAACCTGACCTTTATTTGGCCTGAAAAAGTAGTAAAATTTGGCAGCAAAATCCTCTGCATCTTATCTCGGTCGGTCAGGTGATCGTTACTGTAAAATCGGGAGGCAGTTGATCTGGCAAAAAAGCAAGAATTAATTTTGAACAGCGCATTTCAGCATCATCTTCCACGCATAATGATGGTTTAACTGCAGGTCCGTATAAGAAGTGACGCTTTTCCCTTCTGAGCACGGGTGACCACAGTAGAATCAGAGATTGTAAAAGAGGAGGTTAATGCTGTTAGACAAACTGCTTCAGCATACACCATATACTGCAGCTCATGAGCGGCTTCAGTTGGAACCGTGAAGCGGCAGATGTCTACCAGGAGGCTGGTATAGCTGGCATACAACTGGTAGAGACACATCTGCTTTCGAATAGGAGTATTTCCATCACGATGAGTATTCGATGCTTTATGTCAACAGTGTTGAATAACGGCTAATAACGGCGATATCAAAAACCCGGTCGTTCGGCTTATGCAAACGGCTTTGTATGGTGGTCTCAACAAACAGCCTGTGCGAAAGCAAATCAGCCTCTACGTTGCTCATTTATGCCGCATGCTAACTTTCTAGTCGGCATCTTCCATGTTTCGGTTCCCATTGGAGAATCACATTGGCTGGAGTAAATGGTTTCTGCTCAACTCCTTTCTCGAAGAGAGGTAACCTCTTTTGTCTTAACCGCCACCCCCGTACCTTCTGCTGTTGTCACAAAACAGCCAGTTTGTCTAACTTATCTCTTAGTCGTAATTGAAGTCTTTCCCAAGACCTGATTCCATGTCCGATTTTGTGTTGCTCTGTTTTCAGTTGGGTTTTTCCTGCCATATCTTGCTTTTGATTGGCATAGTGTAAGCTTTTCATATAGTTTGCTTTCATTCATAATCCGCTCTGAATAAATGATTATAATATAGTGTATTACCGATAGGAGATAACTACCGGGAGGATCCAAATGGCATATTGGTTAGCGTACGATATGAAGTCGTATAGAAATTACAAATGGAAACTATTGATTAAAATTCATTAATGGGTTTCGAGCTCATTAATTTCCTTCGGTTGACGTTTGGTCCCTAAGTTGCCATAACTGGAGCTTTCATGGGAAGTTGACTTTTGAAATTTTGATTTGTATCAGGTTTTAATTGGTCCATAGAGCCGATGTGTGGAAATCGGAAACGTGAAGGCAGTAGCGAACGACGAACGTTTAAGGTTCGATTTTCGCGGTTCCTTTGAGTAAGGAATGAAAGGCGGACATGTGATTGATTGATATTATTCTGCG